CATGATCACTGATTCAACATTTAGTTTGAAAAAACATGCAAATAGCATCCGCCAAATTGCATTCCATAAGATAAAGAATATATATCAAATCAGTAGATATTGGGACAAAGTCTCTGTCAAATGCTTAGTGGATGCTTTTGTCACTTCAAGGAGTATTGCAACAGTCTCCTGAGTGCACAATAACTTGCCAGGTTCATCACACGGTGTTGAAATTGCGACCACAGAACAGCGTTCCTTAAAGAATTGTATTGGCTGAACAGTGAAACGGGGAGAATCGTGTGTAAGCTGCTGATATTCAAGGTCTGGATCCAGTGTACCAACGAGAACTTTCAAGTCTTTGAAACGCATTTAGAAGTGATAGATGGCAACAACAAAATGAGGTGCCACCTTCCCGCTGTTCTGTGGAATGAGCTTTCAGTTGATGCAAGGATGCCGTCAGCTTCCGGTCAATACTCAAGGCTATGTTCTTCACAAGGGCGGGGATAAAGGGGATAAAATGCTCTATATAAATCTATACTTATGCATTATATATTCTAATGTAGAAGACTCCCAAACACTTCAGCCTTCTAAATTACCCAGGTTGTCCGAAAAAATGTATTCCTGGCAACAAACCCGGGTACTCTCCTAATGTCAGTCAACACATTGGGAGGTACCAAACCTAAGGCACCCGAGAACAATGGAAAGTCGGACAACTTGGAATGGAAGCATGATATTTCGAAAGCGAGGTCCGCATATTTGCCTTTTTTTTTCCTGAATCTTGTCAATCACATAGGTGTCAAAAGGGACAGAAAGAATAAAATAGTATAAATAATTTCATTGAATTTATGACAAAGGACAAGATTAGGTTTGTTGTCCGTGATAGGTCTTAGGTTGTATACGGCCCTTTTCCAAAGAATTTTGTACTTATCATTTTTGACGCCCTCAGGATATTCTGGGTCGTACCATGGATGGCGAAGACGATGATAAAATCATCGAGCCACTCAATCATGTTGCTTAAGATATAATCCTTGTGCCAAAGCTGGGCATCCACTGACAATGTGTTGGACAGTCTCATTAAATTCATTCCAAAACCTACATTTCATATTTACATTTTGACGCAAAACCTCACATTGACGGTTTCGAGTGGGAAGTGACCGTCCTAAGCAGCAAACAGAAAGCCTTCTTTTTCACTTTTCCAGGAAGCCGGCTTCATCAAAGGGAAGAAAACTGATCCTTTGAAAGCTAAAAAGACAGGGAAACATTAAAATTAACATAAACAGTTATCAATGCGGTAGTTGTAGTATAATCACCGCGAATCTCTCATCTGCTGAACCAAATTCTTTTGGGTGTAGAAGGAAAACCACTGAGGAAAATCATAGGAATGGATCATTGAAAAGTAGGGGAATTCGTGAAAAGGGTAAGCACGTCCTGTTCTATAAGAAAGAGGTAAGCGCCGGTGAGTAAGGGGATGTGACAAAACCATGTCAAGGTCATAGCATGGGGTAGCATTGCCCTTCCTGTTGACAAGCGACGCATCCCAATGATTAACAATGAATGAAACCATTGTTGTATGCAAATTATGTGTCTTGCCTTGGTGGAAATGTTTTACATGTTCTGAAGTATCGAAACAATTGGTCATGGTGTGAGAGTTGATTGACACGTTCTGACCTGCATACATAATGAATTGCATAAAAGCGAAATATTTTTTGTGGACATGTCATGATGTCTTAGAGGTGTTTCAATAACAACTTGAGTCAATTGTTCACTGCGACAAGTCATGAAAATATTTAAAAGAATAAATGCTAGTTCAGTTGGCATTCTCCAGGATAGTGTACATTCTATTATCATCAAAACTCTGTCGATGAAGAAAGTATATGCTCGTTGGGTCCCAAAGCTTCTGACATGTGAGCAGAAACGCACCAGACACTAGCTGCAAAGGTTATTGCTTCCGTGTTTTTGGTTGCCGAGGATGTCATCATGGTAGGCCAGACAATAAACTGAGCATATGATGATTCATCTTTAGGGGAATTACGGGATGAAATTAAGACTATGAGAAGTGGGAAGAATGCGTCCTCCGCCATCGGAAAAATGTGCCTGTGCACTAATCAGTCATTTCAATGGCTACAATCCACATGTGTTGCTTTAAACTACTTCAGCACCTCCCTTTGTTACTGTTCTGTCTCCTATAGACTTCCATCTGTATCCCAAAATGAAGAAAGCTCTAGCCGGAACCTATTTCAACTCGAACGATGACTAGCAGCTGCGGAGAGCATCGCTTTCATAAGTGTATTAGTGTGGAAGAGAATTCATTTAAAAAAAAATCATTATAATGTCTCTAAGTCAAGTCTTTATATGTGAGGGAGCCGTGAAGATCCGGGTAGATGCTTGTCATATGAGGCGACTAATGGGATCTGGTGGTCAGGCTCGCCATCTTGGTTTATGCTGGTAATCGTATCCCAATTGTGTAGATGCCAATTGTGTGGATTGTCTGGTCCACTCTCGATGGTCACACACTAGGAATATTGCCGAGTGCGGCGTTAGACGACAGACAAACAAACACAATGTTTGGTTCAGAACTGTTCAATCACCCATGCAGATTGCTGAACATGCAAGGGAAATTCACAATGAGAAATTCGAAATATTCCATCTTGTCCTACAGCTTGTGCATTATTTTGACTGAGACTAATTATAAATGTGTCAAGGAAAATCAATAGTGCAATTTAGTAAATAAATAATACATGTAAACGGACGAGAGCTTGATTAGAAACAAAATAAAAGTAAATCGATTAAATCGTGAAAGTCAATAATCTTCATTAACTCTGTATCAACAGACCGTGTCCAAACTGTCTAAATTCTTTGTTAATCTGAATACACGGAACATCGGTAATTAGAAATGATCGAAAAACAACTGCTGAAGTAGAGACAGAATCAGAAGAAGTCAATGTGAATGACAAAGGTTATATATTTAAGAAGGAGTCAAGAAAAAGCGAAGCTTGAAAAAGAGAGAGAGAGAGAGAGATAGAGAGAGAGAGATATGTGATGTATAAAAATATAAATAATTAAAATGTCTTCAGGTCAAGTCTGTCTATGTGAGGGACCCGTGAAGATCAGGGAAGATGCTTGTTATATGAGGCGACTAACGGGATCTGGTGGTTAGGCTCGCCAACTAGGTTCATGCTGGTCACCCTATCCCATTGTAGATCGATGCTCATGATATCGATCACTGGATTGTCTGCTCCAGATTTACAGACCGCCTTCACATTCTAGGAATATTGCCGAGTGCGGCGTTAGACGACAAACAAACATACACACAATTCTATGTTTGGCTCAGAACTCTTAAATCACCCATGCATATTGCTGAACGTGAAAGGGAAATTCACCATTAGAAATTCAGACATTTCATCTTGTCCCACAGCTTGTGCATTGCTACACTGAGAAACACTATGACATAAATGTTTCAAAGTAAATCAATGGTGCTATTTAGCAAATAAAAAATTAATGTAAACGGACGAGAGCTTAAGTAGAAACAAAATAGTAGTAAATCAATTTAATCGTGGAAGTCAACAATTTCTATTAAGTCTGTATCGGCAGACTATGGAGCTTTTCTGTCCAAACTATCTCAATTCTATGAGAGAGAGGGAGAGAGATGTGATGTCATATATATCATAGAAAATCGTGTGTGTTTTATGTTATGTCATCTTTCTGTAGAAAATCGTGAAAGTTTAAAACGATTTTGTATGTTCCACCTATCACACAACCATCTCTCATGAGAAATTGAATGAGATATTACATTCTTTATTTTATAAAACATTTGTTTCACGAAATGTGTTCAATGATATTAACGGATGTGGTCAATTTGTTACAATTGACAGTATCTATGCTCGGAAATGTTCACCCCGTGGGGATGATGGGTCGGAATATGTCCCGAGGAACCTATTCTGGTTGTAAGAGGATACTGAAAACATTGGGTGATCAGGTTCCGTGACTTGGTTGATTACGCGTCATCATACGCCGATGGCATGGGTCGTTGCTCACGATATCAACCACTTGGTTGTCTGGTCTAGACTCGATTATTTACCGGCCGCCGTCATATGGCTGGAATATTGCTGCTTGCAGGGTTTAAGAACAAACAAACAGATATATTCAGATTTCCAAATATGCGAGTTGCTGAATTTATCTATGAAGGGCTGCTCTCGCATTCACATTCACTTTCACACTAACATTCAGATTCACTTTGAAATTCACATTCACATTAACATTCGTATTCATATTAAAATTCCTATTAGCATGCAATATCATATTCAAATTCATATTAACATTCATTTTCACATTCACATTCATTATCCGGGGTAGAACAGGTCTTCAGCAATCCAGTGATTAATAGCATGAGCATCGATCCACGCAATTCGAATCGATGACATGCATCAACGAAGTCAGCGAGCCTGACCACCCGATCCTGTTAGGCGCCTTTTACAACACCTTTTATGGCAAGCATGGGTTGCTGAAGACCTATTCCACCTCGAAATCTTCACGGGTTGAACTACAAAGTATGAAGTTACAAGAATTGAACGTCAGTTTTGCTGAGTTCATTTGAGTGTGAACGATTGAAAAGCACTGGTTAAACTTTCATGTGAACCTCCGAACTTGCGATCTGTTCTGATAAACATGGAGTCCAAAACAAGTAGTCCTGATCGGTTAATTGCTCTATATTTGCTGTTTTATACTTTACTTTCACGATAATGATGTGTGCCAACAATGCATCGTAGATTGGATCTCTGACTTTCAAAAGAGTAAACGCCCCAACACGCTGTCAATAATGATTTTCTTCTCAGCGAAAACGTTCCATCTCTGACTTTTAAGAAAGTAAATGCCCCAGCACACACTGTGAATCATGATATGTATTTCTACTTAACAGAGAAAACGCCCCATCACGTGCACAGTGTCAATATGGATTGGGTATTAGTAATCATTGCAACTAGGTACAGAATACGTTCAGTTGAATTAGAGCAGCAGTAGTCGTAAACGCGATGGCTGGTTTAAGAGTTCTCCTCACTTATGTGTTTGTGTGTGGAGTTCAAAGTAGTTTTCAATTTGGGTATTTTCACAAGGTTTGCAATGACGTGAAAAGACTGGGATTTCAAAGGTGGACCAACCATGGAGTGGTCAGCTACGTTCGCTGTGCCACGCGATGCGTCAGCGACAACCAGTGTCTTTCATTTCAGTACAACCCCTTAACAGGTGTCTGTACTGGCAACAACGTCTCACAGGGAAACTCACAGGAGTTTGACGAAATTGTTGACACGGGCAACTGTATATTCTATCCAGTTGAAGGTAGGTAAATTGTGTAAGGATAAGAGGGATTTTGAATTCACGCTGCTTTTGGCAAAATTTTAGCAATATCACGGCGGGGGGCACCAGATATAGGGCTTCATGTATGTATGTACACTATTGCCTAGAATTTGATTCCCCTTACACGCATAGGCAAGGGGTTACGCAACCCGTGTGCACCCCGTTCGTAACTCAGGTGGAACAGAATTTTGACCAAAGGAAGACCCATGCTAAGCTGAACTTGGAGGTGGTAACAAGGAGAGAATATTTTGTTTTCCTGACGAACAATGTTAATACACATTTTATCATATGTACTTGCTGATGTCTCATTTCATATCTCAACTGAATATTTAGGCGTTTAATATATTCCCTAAGTGAAAACTTTGCACATTTTGACTGTAAAAATATAAACACAATAAAATAAGAAATAAGTCAAAATAGTGTAAACGAAAATCGCACAATACCAAGCAAGTGACTTATCATAACTACCAAAAAAGATACCTACATTTCCTTATTATTTCCAAAACGGTATTTCATTTTGTTGATCAATACGCCCTTATACTACCAATAAAAGTGGCAAATGCGCTTACGAATGGCGCAGCACAGATCGTGAACAAGGAGAGGTAAACATTGCGCTAATATAACAAAGGCAACAACCAGGAATTGCTTTAGATCAGTGCCCCTTTATTAGAATACATGATCCTGTTAAGTGTTACAGCTATTCAAATGTTCTTTTTTTATGATTTGACACTGAACGTCTGTAGTACGACTTTAAGTGATCATGTTTATGAGGTTTGGCGGAGCATTGCTTTTCTTGTACCCTAATTACTTGTGTTTCTTTGTCTCAGCTCCATAGCCGTGACGCTGGTAAAGTGCAGCATTTAATTAATGAGTGAGTGAGTGAGTATGGTTTTACGCCGCTTTTAGCAATATTCCAGCAATATCACGGCGGGGGGACACCAGAAATGGGCTTCACACATTGTACCCATGTCGGGAATCGAACCCGGGTCTTCAGCGTGACAAGTGAGCGCTTTAATCTCTAGGCTACCCGACCGCCCCCTTTTAATTAATGAGAGTAGGAAGAGACTGGTGGGAGCGGGCCGGGGTTGTGTATAAAATAGCCGTTGCACAATGGCCACAAGGAAAGCTAAACAGACAGACAGTCAGACAGATATTTTATTTACGTCTAACCTCAAATATCACATAAAAATATAAATATATATACTGAACTGCAAAAAAAACGCGAGATTGTAAAATATAAATTATATATGGTAAAATGCGGAAAATATATGTCAAGTCTGTAGGTGTCAATATTCCGTGACGTCCTGATGCGTTTGTGAGACAAACATTCCATCGAACGGTACAACGAGGCCTGAAATTAGTCGCCACAACGCAGCCTTGTCCAAGGCCGTGGGTAACAGTTACCATGCTTTGCCGTGGACACCAACATGCACGTGTACTCATGGAGGCTATGGGTATAAAAAATCAACTTGAACTGCCTTTCTGGCACTCGTAATTTTGATGCGGCAGGTATGCCTCGATTATCCACACAACAGAGAGAACAAGCGATCGGTCGATTACAAGCTGGACAACAGTCCCAGGTTGTGGCCAACACTTTCAATGTTCACGTCAGCACCATCCACCGTCTGCAGCAGCGCTACAACATCACAAACAGTACTGCAGACCGCGCCCGACGTGGACGCCCCCGAGTGACCACGCCCAGGCAGGATCGGTTCATCCACCGCCAACACCTACGGGATCGCTTCAGACCAGCCAGTGTGACAGCTCGAAACACCATTGGCACTAGAGGGCGACCGATCAGTGACGATACGGTACGACGTCGGCTGACTCACAACAACCTGTAATGCCGTCGGCCCGCTCGAGTGCCCATCCTCACCGCCCGCCACCGCCAGGCACGACTGCAATGGGCTGCACAACACCGACATTGGTGGCATCAACAGTTGAGGCCAATTGTCTTCTCTGACGAGAGCCGGTACTGTGGATCCACGTCTGATGGGAGAGTGAGGGTGTGGGGAAGGATGGGTGTGGGCTATACGGACCATTGTGTCATGGAAAGAGACCCGTGGGGTGGTCAGAGCATCATGGTTTAGGGTGCTATAGGCCTGAACCAGAGAATTGGCCCTCATGTGTTTCACAATATTGGCGCTGGCAGGGGGAATGGCATCACAGCGCAACGCTACACTGACCAGATCCTGAGACCTTACATCGTTCCCTACTTCGCACGTCACCAGAACCACGTGTTCCAGCAGGACAACGCGCGTCCCCACGTGGCCAGGCTCACCAGGAACTTCCTGCACCAGCACAACATCCAAACCATACCATGGTCGGCTATGAGCCCGGATTTAAACCCGATCGAGCACCTGTGGGATGAAATACAGAGACGGCTGAACCAGGTGGTACCAACACCAAGAACTCGTGCTGATCTGGAGGCAGCTTTCGTCAGGGTGTGGGCACAGGTGCCTATGGCCTTCGTGAACCGCCTGCCACACTCAATGTACCGTAGGTGTATGGCTGTGTTGAGGGCATACGAGGTACTGACATTTCCCACCCCACCATTTCCATGTGCGTGATCGGCCCAAAGCAAGAACTTGCAAGAACGTTCCATGGACTGTGGTCAATGTGCATGCAAAACATGAAGTGTCTAAGACTTATCCTATTTGACCTCTCTCTCGCCTTGTGAATAAACCATTTTTCAGTCACACAGTACTCGCGTTTCTTTTGCGGTTCAGTATATATAATATGTAAATGAGCCACTCCTATTGGAGTTATGAGAGACGAAACGTTAAAATATACAAATACAGATTACTAAAATACAAATAAATAAAAGGTTAATGTACACACAAAAGTTAAACACACTATACAGTATATCAAATATATTTCCGTATGTTTAAAATAGCATTGCAGGTTTTGGCAGCAACATGTACAACAATAGGGCTGGGGAGAATAAAACACAATTTAACATAATCATTTTGAAGATTAAAATCATGACACACATCAATACATTTTGTTAAAAGCTCTTTACGGACATCATTATAAACTGGACATTGAAGTAGAACATGCAGCTCATCTTCCACACAATCTGTACAATTAAAACATACTCTCTCACTGACCGGAAGGTTATTATAGCGCCCAATTTCCAGTTTTATTGGTGCAACTCCACATCTTAATACGGCGGGAGCTTTTCTGTTTTGTCTTGACATCGGGAGTTTATTGTAGTGTTCCACACTGACAACTTTCTTGAACTGGTTGTATAGCCTTAGTTTATTACCTCCCTTGCCTCTGACACTGTTAACCTGATTTATTGCACTTTCCCACTTTTCTCGGAACTTTTTAAAAACATTGCGCTAAAGCAGTGTTGTTTTCACAGGCTTTTTTAATATATTCCCATAGCCACTGTCACTACTCGCTACTCTTCTACTTGATCCTAGATACATCATTTTGACATTTACAATATATATATATTTTTTCAACGTACATTATAGTTTATTAGTCTTATCAAAATTATCGAAATTGTCAAGTATGTTGAGCTTCCAAGCAATAATTTTAACTTGTGGTGACATGTAAATATAAAACGTCTCATGTAAGGCATAAAGTAAGTACGATAGTAAATAATAATTATATTCAAACCGCATTAAAATGTAATGATAACAAGATGCATGTGTAATCCTAAAGCCTGTGTTCCACATACAGAGCCAGAATGAAAACTGATTAAATAAAGGGAAGAAGCTTCATCTGAATATGACTAAACATGTATATGTAAATGTTACGATACTGTTGCTATCTTCACGAATTATTTAAAAATGGGCATAAGGTTGATGAGACGAGACGAAGACTACAGATATTCGATTTTTCCATATCAATAAACATTTCCAATCAAATTAAGTTCATTCATTGGTATCCATAAATTAATTATTGATATCGATTAAGGAATACATAGTAAAAAGGCGTCCTATATATTGTTCTTTGTGGATTTTTCAAAGTAAAGTGATTGCATCATGGTTATAGTGTTAATTGCTAGTCTTATTTCTGGACTTTGATGCTATAGCACAGAAAATTGTTACCCCGAATTACTGTGTAACGCTTCACATTATACGAACAAGGATAGGAAAGCGAGAACAAAACAAAGTAGTGGACTTAGATTCAAGACTCCGTACAGTGTCTATTATCTTCCCTTGACAATTTAGCTAATGTGAACAATCCCGATGACTTTGCAATAACAAATCAATATACCAATCGGTGTCCGCAATTATTGCTGAGAAAAGGTGTATATCCTTACGAATATATGGATGATTGGTCTAGATTTGACGAAACTAAATTACCACCCATTGAATCATTCTATAGTAAGTTAACAGAATCTAAAATTATCGATGACGATTATGCAAACTCTCTGACGGAGACGGATAAATTAGGTTGTAAGAATTAAGGAGATTATCACGATCTGTACTTAAAAACCGAAGTATTTTTACTCGCCAATATATTCGAGACATTTAGAAAGACATGTTTAAAACAATATGGCTTGGATCAAGCATGGTACTATTCCAGTCCCGGAATATCGTGTGATGAATTGTTGAAGAAGATCGGTGTAGAATTAAAATTACCCACCGATTATGATATGCACTTGTTTGTTGAGCAAGGATGAAGAGGTGGTATATTGATGACGGCGAAAAGGTATTCAAAGGCAAATAATAAATTAGTGGCAGGATATGATTCGAGTGAACCCGATATGCACATATTATATCTCGACACCAACCATTTGTACTGATGGGCTATCAGCCAACCTTTGTCCACTGGTGATTTTGAGTGGGTACAAAATATCTCTGTGAATGATATACCCACAAATTCTGATAAAGGTTACATACTAGAAGTTGACTTAGAATATCCAGCAGAGTTACACAAAGACCACAACAGTTATGCGCTAGCTCCTGAAAGAGTAATGGTTAATGGAGGTTGGATGTCAGAATATCAACACTCCTTGATGGGTA